TCCTTTCATACTAAAAAATATATCAATAAAAGTGGGGGAGTGGTTGTTTACATTAGGTTGGACAAGTGGATGCCCTCTGTGCAGGAGCCCACCTTTGATGAGGCAAACTGCCTTAGGGTTGACTTGGATAACTCATTGTCTATACTATGCATATATTGCTCTCCCTCATTTCGCAACTTAAACGGCTTTCTACAATCTTTGGACAGTACACTTCACAGCTTACAGGATAGGTCTTGTGTAATGTTGGCGGGTGACTTAAATATCAATCTGTTAGCTAACGACACTGATTTGCGGTTATCTGATTACTTATGCCTAATGGCTTCCCACGGGTTGTTGTCAGCCATTTCAGAGCCTAATAGGGGAGATACATGCTTGGACCACATTTTCATTAAATGCAAATAAGTTATCTCAGCAGCTGTATGCAAATGCTCCTTGACTGATCACACCTACCATATGCCTATGGTAGGTGTGAGCTTTGCTGAAAATATACCTAAATCGGAAAACAGGTACAGAAATATTGTTGATATCGTTGCAATTAATTTGGACCTTTGCGGTATGAACTGGTCGACAATAATTGACTGTGAATACGTCGACGAGACCTCTTTTAATTTTGACCAGATTATACAATCAACTGTAGGCAAACATACTAGTAAAGTAAAATTGAGTCGCACTAAATACAACATCAAACCCTGGATTACTCCCGGGCTAATGAAATGTATGCGACACAGAGACCATTTGCATAGTCAGGTCCGTGCGAACCCCAATGACGTCGTGCTTAATCTGACCTACAAACGATATCGCAACTATTGTAATGACCTGCTGTAATGACTCAAGGCTGAGCACGAGAATGGAGAGCTGAAAAACCATAAGCGGAATCCTAAAAAGCTTTGGCAGGCAATAAGAAATGTTTGCGAGGTCCCCCAAAGGAGTAAAGATTCTGAGGAACTTTTGAAAAGTGATGTTGACATCAAGTCTTCATTAAATTTCTGTAATAGTCATTTTGTCTCCTCCGGTCGAAAATTGGCTGATCAAATCCTGTCTAAGCTTTCAACCTCAGAGGTCAAATTGAGTGCTTCCGTTGGGACTTCCAATCCTCTGCTTAACTCTTTCTTCTTTAAACCAACTGATTCATTGGAAATCAAGAGGCTGATTGAGGGTTTACGTAATGATAGTGCGCCGGGGGTTGACGGATGTACCCCTCTTCTTATTAAATCTATTAAAGAGTCAATTTTGATTCCTCTTACTCATATTTTCAACCTTAGTCTTAGTAAGGGCGTATTTCCTGACAGATGGAAGTGTGCGGTAGTAAGTCCGATTTACAAAGCTGGACCAAAGAATAATCCGGATAATTACAGGCCTATATCGCTCCTAACAATCTTCTCAAAGCTTCTTGAGAAGATAGTTAATATCCGTCTGCTGAAGTATATCGAGAAGTTGAAGCTAGTTTCTTATAGACAGTTTGGGTTTAGGGTAGGGAAGTCCACTGAGGATGCTATTAATCTGCTGATAAATCAAATTTCATCGAAGGTGGATAATGGTAAATGTCTGCTTTCTAAGGCCTTTGACACCGTGTCTAGACAAATATCGTTGAAGAAGCTCGAAGGTTTTGGAATCCGCGGTACTGCTAGGAATTGGTTTCAAAGCTATCTCACTAATCGATACCAAAGCGTGCAAATAGGGCCTGATTACATTAGTTCCTAGCTTCAGGTGACCTTCGTCGTGCCCCAAGGCAGTATTCTCGGGCCGACCCTCTTTATTCTATATATGAATGACCTTCTAGAACTCAAAATACCTCAGTGTGAAACAATTTGTTACGCAGATGACACCGTTATCTTATTTCATGGTCGATCCTGGAAAGAAGTAAGAAAGCTGGCCGAACGGAGAACGGGTCAAGTGGCTGGGTGGCTGAATCGTAATTTGTTGACACTTAATGCGAAAAAATCCAAATACATGTGTTTCCACAAAATTGTGCATCGAATCCGTTGATGCAGAACGACATTCCAGTCCACACTTATGACATTCTGCAACATTGTGACTGTGAGGGTATTGCGAGAGTGGAGACGATCAGGTACTTGGGTGTAATTGTTGACCACAATCTTTCCTTCAAACAGCATATCTCATACCTCTCAAATCGAGTCAAGAGGGTTATTTACATAATGAAGTTACTCAGGAACTGTGCTGATAAAAAGACACTTCGTATGGTTTATTTTGCCCTCTGCCAATCCTTAATACATTATTGTATATCAGCTTGGAGTGGTGCCTCCAAAACCACGATGTTGCAGTTGGAGAGGGCACAGAGAGCAGTTCTCAAGGTCATGTATAAAAAGCCCTACCGGTACTATACGGCCGATCTTTATCGGGATAGCGAGGTTTTGAGTGTACGCCAGTTGTATATTCTATCCGCAGTTTTAAAATGGGCAAGTAATTAAGTCGCCTATTTACGACAACCTAATCACTAAACGAATATTTAAAATCCCAATTCTGGCTGCCAGGTCTGTTTTCGCGCAACGTCTTCCACAGTTCTCACATCCTCATATTTATAACAAAATACTTAAAGTCTGTGACATCAAAAATTGCACCACTTTGAAAGCTAAACATATAGTAAAAAGATATCTCACCACACTTAATTATAATAATACCAAAAACTTAATATTAAAGCAAAAATAATACCAAATTATATCTAAGTTTCACACTAAAATATTGTATTCATATTTTTACTAGGAATAAAAAATAAATATTAATGTAAGCGACAAATAGTTAAAAACTATCTTCCTAAATTAAGTAATAATTTGTTGTTCTGTATAATTTTGGGTACCTTTAATTACGTAAGTAAAACTGATAACCGTACTCCTGGTCCCCAAGATATATATAAGGTACTGGCGGGCCCCAAACTAGGCTATGCCTAGTTTGGGGCCCGCCAGTACCTTTTTTATATGTAATAAGAATTTATATGTAATTAGTATTTAATTTAATATAATATAAGTTAAAATTAATTTAATATAACTCACTTTTTTCCCAATGTTAAGGTCTGTAGCTCTATTTCTAGGAATAAATGATTTTTATTTATTTATTTATTTCATCGGGGGCGCGGCGCCTTGATTAGTGAGACATAGCAACGCACGGCACCGTTAGATAAAGCACAGCATACATTTTGTTGTCCTTATTATGTAGAGTCGTTAGAGCCTCGGTGTTAAAATAGCTTCTTTTGTTAAGCTATCGTTGTTATTAGAGAGAGAGAGAGAGAGAGAGAGAGAGAGAGAGAGCGGCATTTTATAGGTTATCGTACTTTATTCATTGTTAGGCTAATACCAACAACTATACACAAAAAATTAACGGTATATGCGGCTCAACAACATGGCATTGGGGGATGAGTCGCTCGCGTCCGTAGGCTTCGACCACCTAACCTTAGGCCCACCCTACACGTGTCCCCCGGGTGGTGCTAAACGAGCGACAAAGCTGATAAAATAGACTCGGCTCCTCGCCTTATGGTAGCGGCGTAAAATCTACCACCAACCCTTGTTCGCACCATGACTCAAGAAATAAAAGAAATGGCCCCGAGTTCCCGGCGCCCTTTAAATGGGGCAGGGGTGCGAAGAATCTCCGGGAGAAAAACCGGCGACGAGGTTCGCCACCCGTCACGTTCTGTCTCCCGGAGGGGCGAAAAGTGGATTGCGGAAACCCGTCTGGCTACGCTGAATGTATGTGGAGGAATGAATGATAAGATGGATGAAGTATGCGAAATGATGAATGACAGAGGAATAGATGTGTTATGTGTGAATGAGACGAAACGAAAGGGAAAGGATGCCACTGCACATGGCACGTATACCGCGTATTGGTCTGGTGTAGGCGAGACCGAACGGGCATGCCAGGGAGTCGGTTTCATCCTTTCAGAAAGAATGGGTCAATGTGTGAAAGAGTATGAATGTGTAAGCCCAAGACTGCTATGGATACGAATGAAAGTGGGCTTAAAGAAACTGTTCCTGCTAGGGGTGTACGCCCCAGACATGTCTAAGCCCACTTACATCCGAGAGCAGTTTTGGGACATGGTAAGGATGGTGGTGACAAAATGTAAGGAAAATGAAAATATTATTATGTTAGGAGACCTTAATGGAAGGGTTGGGGTGAAGAGGTCTGGTTATGAAAGGATATTGGGAACGTTTGGTGATGAAAGTATAAATGAGAATGGTGAAGACCTCCTCACCGTATGTGCGGAAAAGAATCTTTTTGTGACGAATACTTTTTTTCGTCATAAGAAGATTCACATGTATACATGGGTAAGAGGTGATGATAGAAGCATGATAGTTTTCGTAATTGTGGATGAAAGAATGAGGAGCGCAGTCGTAGATACAAGGGTTTACCGGGGGTCCAACGTAGGGACGGATCATTACTTGGTCTTATGTCGAATTAATGGTCTTTTCAAGCGTTGGCGGCATCGGACATCTGTATCTACCACTGCGTTACAGCGTATAAGAATAGAGAAATTACAAGATGAAGATGTGATAGAGAAGTATAAATGTAGACTGAGAGAAAATATTAGATGTTTGAATGAGTTGTGTATGAATGATTTAGACTTGAATACCGTGTGGGATAATATTAACACGTTAAACGCCATGTAAGAAATGTGATTTTACTCCAAAAAATTTTTTGTAGTCATTTTGTTAATAATCATGATATATGTATAGAAATCAGTTTTTATCGAAATCAAAAATACAGTTTTCAAGTTATTGCTGAAAAACTAGCCGCGGGCACCTGTGACCCCCATGGCGCTCAAAAGCAAAAAAAGTTATTTTTCGTTTGCATGCGCCACGCCGCCCACCCCGCCGGTCACCCCGCGCTCCAGTCTATCGCCGGCGCTTGCGCGGAGAGGTTATGTTCGTTTGGTTTTTGGCTAATTAGAATACGTCTAAAGCATATTTCATGTTAGTTATGTTTAGTAATTCATTGCGATGGAAAATAATATAGTACCTAATAATGAGGAACGCGATTTTTGCGAATTTCAAATGGATTTGGCGGACTTTGAATTGTCGCAAGAAGATTTGCAAGAGATTGAGACTTTGGAGTTCAACGCACTTCAGACATCGTTCAGGGACATCAGTAGCGACGATGAGTCTGAAAATTTACATGTTCCGAAGAAAAGAAGACGTATGGTTATCAATTCGGACAGTGAAAGCGATTCAGTAAAAGATTTTGTCCTACAAAATTTACCTACTTCTTCAAACACGTACACAAAATGGAAGAACCCTACTGGATGCACTGCTCGAGTGATACCCTTCACTGAGCCCACAGGTATGAAGTTTCCTTTTTCAAGAGACTTAAGTCAAAAGAAGGAGATCCAGAGGATTTTTATTCTTTGTTAGTTGACGATTCCTTGTTTGAAATAATTGCTGAACAAAGTAACCTGTTTGCTACGCAAAGCTTTGGAGATAAAGATTTCAAGCCATGTTCTCGCTCACATACATGGCAGCCAACCGATAAGCATGAAATAAAACGATTTTTTGGACTAATTTTATTCATGGGCCTTGTGAAATTGCCATCAATTAGTGATTACTGGAGTACAGATGACATATTTCAACAACCGTTTCCTCGCACAGTGATGACTAGGAACAGATTTGAATTACTTTTACAGTACCTACACTTTGCCGACAATTACAACTTGAATCCGAACGATCGCATTGGAAAAATCAGGTATCTTGTGAATTTGTTAAATGATAAATTTAAAGCCTACTATGCCCCTAAAGAAGAACTGTGTGTCGACGAAAGTATGATTCCTTTTAGAGGTCGAGTCACTTTTCGACAATATAACAAATCTAAAAGGCACAAATACGGTATAAAATTGTTTAAAGTTTGTACAAATCCTGGTTATACTTTAAAAATACAGGTATACAGTGGAAAAAATATTGATATTGAGAATAATACCCCTACAAAAATAGTATTATCCCTGTGCGATGAACTCTTGAATAAAGGCCACACCATTGCCACTGATAACTGGTACACCAGCTTGGAACTGGCGTACGAATTACTAAAAAACGATACACATTTCCTGGGGACAGTGAGAAAGAACAGAAAGTACTTGCCTACGAAAGTAGTAGAAACTAATTTAAAACGAGGTGAATTCGTAGCACAAGAAAACGATTGTGGCATCACAGTATTAAAATGGAAAGATAAAAGAGATGTTTTAATGCTGTCTACAAAGCACACGGACAAATTTACTCGATTAAATGTCAGAGGCAAGGCGGTGCAAAAACCAGCAATGGTTATTGATTATAACAAATGTAAAGCTTCAGTCGACATGAGTGATCAGATGACAGCTTATTCAACTCCACTGAGAAAAACTGTCAAATGGTATAGAAAATTGGCCATAGAATTGCTCTTGAATACAGCTGTGGTAAATGCGTTGATAATGTATAAGGAAACCACTAAGAAAAATATTTCAGTAGTAGATTATAGAAAAAATCTCGTTCAATATCTCACTAAATCAGGACGTCCAGAAACAGGTAACTTGGCACTTGAATTACGTCCAAAACGACGAAAACATGAACTTGTCAAAAAAGAGGGACCTGTACGCAAAATGAGACGATTTTGTGTCGGCTGTTACAAGAACAATGTAGAAAAGATGTCGAGAAAAGACGCAAAAAATAAGACCCTGAAAGTGCCTACCTATTGTTTGCAGTGTGATGGTCAGCCACATTATTGCCTGCCATGTTTTAATAGAGAGCATCGAACGTAATTTGGACAATAATTTTTGTTTGTAATATTGTCAATATAATAACTTTTAAATTACTATCTAAATTGTTTTGTGAGCCTTTCTATGACCACGTGTAAAATATTGATATTTCTTTGTGATTGATATATTATTATGTTATTAAAACATTAATACTGTAAAAGATTTTTGTATCTTTTGAATCTTAAAACTACGATATTTAGAACCAAATTTTATATGAAACATTTTTTTTGCGTATTTTTCCCTACTTCTCATAATTTAGTACCTATTTTCTAAATTTTACTAGGCAGGTGTGTCCCACTGCAAAGGATTGCTCTCAAGCGCCGCGCCGGTCACTCACATAGGCGAAATAAACGACACGCGTGACCGGTGGCGCAAAAAAAGCACTTTAAGTTTAGATCTCGCATGTGGTCACCGGTGTCCCCCATGGCGCAATAAAGCAACATACATGAGGTCACCGGTGCCCCCCCATGGCGTTTAACGTGTTAAGAAAGGTTTGGTGGATACCGCCACCGAAGTATGCGGTGTAAGTAAGAGAACAAATGAAAGGAAAAGTAATACGTTATGGTGGGATGATGAGGTACGGGTGGAAGTTGAATCAAAGAAGAAAGCATGGTTAGATTTACTAGCAACCAAAGCTGATAATTCTTCTGGTATGAATGATGAGATTGAAAGAAAAAAGGCAGAATTTAGACGTCTAAATAAGAGAGTAAAAGAAGTTGTTGAAAGGAAAAAGAAAGAAAGAACGGATAAGAATGATAGAAGGATATCTGATAATTTCCAGGCTAACATAAAAATGTTCTGGAAACTCGTAAGAACTGCCAGGGGAAATACAAAACAGCCTATAATAAATGCTATAAGAGACGAGAATGGATGTATTCTGAATGATGAAGTTTCGATTTTAAACAGATGGAAGGAATACTTTGAAAGCGTGTTTATGAGTGAAGAGTCGTATGAATTAAATGAACTAGAAATTCCGAAAGAAGTGGAAAGGGGTATGGAGATAAGTGTAGATGAAATAATGAAAGCAATGAAAAGCATGAAAGCAGGTAAGGCAGCTGGATATGATAGAGTATCACTTGAGATGCTAAGGGCTGGAGAGGGAGTGGTGGCAAGCCTGCTGTACACCTTGTTTAATTTATGTTGGGAATTAAAACGGGTACCGGATGACTGGTGTAAAGCAGTTATAGTACCAATATATAAAGGAAAAGGGTCACAGCAGGACTGCAAAAACTACCGCGGTATCAGCTTGCTTAGTATTGTGGGTAAACTGTATGCTAAGGTGTTAATTGAAAGAGTTATGAAAGAAACTGATGGAAAAATTTGGGATGTGCAAGCGGGTTTTAGAAAGGGAATGGGGTGTACAGATCAAGTCTTTTCCATGCGCATGATTGCGGAGAAGTTTTTGGCCAAAAACCAGAAAGTTTTTTGTGCGTTCATGGACTTGGAAAAGGCTTATGACAGAGTGGACAGGAATGTGTTATGGCAAACACTGAACTCATATGGGTTGAGCGCTGGTTTGATACAGGCATTAAGGTCTCTTTATAGGGACTCTATTGCTTGTGTCAGGATCAATGGGGTCTACTCGGACTGGTTTGGCATCCAAAAAGGTGTCAGACAGGGCTGTGTGGCTTCCCCTTGGCTGTTCAACCTATTTATGGACCGGTGTTTGCAAACTTTGAAAGATGAAGAATGTGGGTTAAGAATGGGCGAGTTAACCGTCAAATGCCTTTTGTATGCCGATGATCAAGTCATACTTGCGTCATCGGCGGCAGAGTTGCAAATGATGGTTACATTAATGAACTGGGAATTAAAAGTGATGGTTTTTGAAAGAGAAGAAAGCAAAACGGTATGTGAAATAAGAATAGAAGGAGAGTTGATTGAGCAAGTGGATGAGTTTGTGTATTTGGGATGTGTATTTAGCAGGGATGGTAGATATGATAGGGATATAGAACGACGAGTAAATGCAGGGAATAGAGTGAATGGGGCACTACACTCTATTATGAAGAACCAGAATTTATCAAAACAGGCACGTATGGTAATTCATAATGCTGTGTTAGTCCCTACTTTAATGTATGGTAGTGAAAGCTGGGTGTGGCAGAAGAAGCACGAAAGTAAAATAAATGCTGTAGAAATGCGGTCTTTAAGGAATATGCTAGGGTGTAATCTGAATGACAGGGTGAGAAATTGCGTGATAAGAGATAAATGTGGTATGCAAGATGATGTTGTGACCAGGATTAAGAAAGGAATGCTTCGGTGGTTTGGTCACGTAGAAAGAATGAATGAAGAAAGAGTGACAAAGCAAATTTATATGGCAGATGTGAATGGCCGAGTCGGGAAGGGACGCCCTAGGAAAAAGTTTATCGACCAAATTGGCGATATTTTGAAAATGGGCCACGTTAGAAGTACCCTTAACCGACGAGCATGTATGCGTAGATATATGGATGTAAAGGAGGCGAAAGAGGTATGTGAGGATCGTGCCAAATGGAAGTCCGTAGTCTCTGCCTACCCCTCTGGGTGACAGGCGTGAGTGTTTATGTATGTATGTAACAACATGGCTTCCAATAGGAATCCCTTTTTCAATAGCTAATTACGTACTGCCGCTGAGTCAGATTTGAAAAATCTACTACCCAGCCCGAGTTGTTGCAATAGGCGAGAAAGTGAAATGAAATAGGTAGACGGCAGAACAACTAAGGGATATCCCATCCATGAGGCAATCTATTGGGAGGTCTATGTTCGGCAAGTGACAGACTTTTTTCGTTTATAACCAAGTTTACAATCTTAGTCCTCTGTCAATGCGTCTGTACTTTGATTCCTAATCGAGCTTAAATGAAAATAACTATGGATAAAGTCATTCACTTACCATCAGTTAGACTCTGTTCTTATTTGCCTTAATTCTATATAAATTAACATAATATGTCATCAAAAAAATCACTTTTAAGACTTCATTTTCGCTGTTTTGATTTTAACTGCATGGAGTTTATGGTATTATGATCAAATAAATCTTTACTATTCGCTCTATGTGTATGACGTATAGTGACGTATAGACGTGAGGAACCTCAACTGGTGATAGAAGAAATCAGGGTTTCGAGGCAGCCTGGAAACGAGTTCCGCAGTGAAATATCACGAACTAGGCGTACGGGTAAAAAACACTAATATCAGATACTTGTTATAATAATTTGTTTGATCATTATAGATAGACGGTCTTACGGTTACTGATTCATCATCATCATCATCATTACAGCCCTTCACAAGTCCACTGCTGAACATAGGCCTCCCCCAAGTAATGCCACAAAGCACGGTCCTGAGCCACCTGCATCCATCGACTTCCTGCATGTCTTACCAGGTCGTCACTCCATCTAGTGGGGGGTCGCCCTACACTACGCCTACCGGTACGAGGCTGCCACTCGAGAACCTTTCTTCCCCATCGGTTATCGGTTCTTCGAGCTATATGGCCGGCCCATTGCCACTTCAGCTTACTAATCCGTTGGGCTATGTCGGTCACTCTGGTTTTGCTGCGGATATCCTCATTTCTGAGTCTATCACGCAGAGAAACTCCGAGCATAGCCCTCTCCATAGCTCGCTGAGCGACCTTAAGCGTCCTCATACGGCCAGCAGTGAAGGACCACGTCTCAGATCCGTAAGTCATCACTGGCAACACGCACTGGTTGTACAATCTAGTTTTTAGAGATTGAGGTATACCTGACGAAAAGATATGCCGTAATTTCCCGAACGCTGCCCAGCCGAGTTGAATCCGTCGATTGACCTCTCGGTCGAAGTTGTACTTACCTAGTCGGACTATTTGTCCCAGGTAAACGTATTCGTCAACAACTTCGAGCATAGTGCTCCCAACAACTACCGGCATAGGTGTGACATGGACATTGAACATGATCTTTGTTTTGTCCATGTTCATCTTAAGACCTATCCGTTGGGAGGCACTATTGAGGTCATTGAGCATAGTGCTTAAGTCCTCCAGCGATTCTGCCATAAGGACTATATCGTCGGCAAATCGAAGGTGAGTGATGTACTCGCCATTGATGTCAATACCGTATCCTTTCCAGTCCAGTAGCTCGAAAACGTCTTCCAATGCAGCGGTGAAGAGTTTCGGGGATATAACGTCACCCTGTCTTACACCTCTCTGCAGTTGGATAGGTTTCGAGCTCTGGTTCTGTACTCGGATAGCCATCGTAGCCCTACTGTACAAACACTTCAGCACTTCGATATACCGACAGTCAACTTGGCACCGCTGAAGGAACTGTAGCACCGCCCAAATTTCGACGGAATCAAAGGCTTTCTCATAGTCCACATACGCCAGGCAAAGTGGCAGATTGTACTCTTCAGTCTTCTGTACAATCTGCCGCAGGGTATGTATGTGGTCTATGGTACTGAAGCCTTTTCGGAAACCGGCTTGTTCGGGAGGCTGGAAGTCGTCAAGTCTGCGTGCGAGACGATTCGTAATGACTCTCGAAAACAGCACGTAGACGCGGCTCAGAAGGGAAATCGGTCTGTAGTTCTTTAAGAGAGCGTTGTCGCCTTTCTTAAAGAACAAGACCACCGCACTTCTGCTCCACGCCTCTGGAGTAGTGCCACCATGGAGGACGGAATTGAAGAGCTTCTGAAGGACTTCAAGTACCGGTGTTCCACCCGCTTTCAGAAGCTCCGCTGTAATTCCATCCTCGCCTGGGGCCCTGCCGTTTTTAAGGTGCTGGAGAGCCATTCTAATCTCGCTTAGACTGACGTCCGGGATATCATCGGAATAGTGTCGGTTACTGATTGTTCAACCTAAATTGCGCAGGTCCCTTTTTCTGCACTGTTAATGTAATTCGCGTTGTTCTCATTCGCTAGCCGCTCTGAGTTTAAGCTCTTAGTTTAAGTACTTATCAACCATATGATTGTATAATTAATCGTACGAATTAACATTATGGAATATTTTATTGGCGGTGTTTCAATATTTTTTTTTTAATAACTCAGGTGCTTAAGAACAACTTTAGATGCATTTTATGTTT